ACGGGATTATAGAGAAATTGTCCGTCTTTGGACGATGTCAAACAATCACCCCTTCACAGACAACCACCCTCTGGTATCTAACCCCAGGTAATTCTCTCACCTGTGACTGCAAACCAATAGCTCTGATTGATCCCTGAGAATGGCCAGTCGGAACCCTGTCTCTCGCTGCTGCCCTGGGGCGAACTGGCAATCCACTGCTGTCTGACGCTCACCCCAAGCAGGTATGGCTGGAATGCAAGCTAACCTGCTTCCTACCTGCAGCTTGTATGTCCCTCCCCCTCCCCGGGGACGCGGTTGGGGGGAATGAGACTTACTCTATACTACATGCATGTCCCTCCTCAACAGAGAGACTGCCCTGTACCTGCAAGGGGTAGTGAGAGACAGCGACTGAGAGAGAGGGGAAAGTGAGAGACTGCGACAGAGGAGAGAGAAACAGCAACAGAGAGGGGAGAGTGAGAGACCGCTACAGAAAGAGGGGGGATAGAGACAGAAAGAGGGATCACATGACAGTGAAAGACAAAGGAGAAACAAACAACAGTGAGAGAGAGAGGAAGCGAAAGATAGAGACAGCAACACAGAGAGAAAGAGACTGACACCAAGAGAGCGCAACACAATGCAAGAGAGAGAGTCAGAGTGAGAGAGAGCAACTGTGGCAGACCGCCTGCTACCCCAACTGGGTACCTCAGCCAAGCACGCTTCCTGGTATCGCCGGGACACCATAAGCACTTTAGCCCCTAGCTGCCACAACTTGCATGGCCTGGCCCAACCTGGACCAGGGTCCTGGATCCAGCTCCCAGTGGTTAGAGCTCTCCTCCAGAGAGTATAGCTGTATAGCAGTGACTAGAGCAGTATAACATTCCCCCACAGACATTAGTCGAGACAATCCAGGGGGTGAATGGACTATATTAGGGGCCACACACGGCCTTTTATGCATAGACCCCTACATGGGGTTTCCAACACAAACAATGGGTCTTTTCTCTCAAGATCCTCTGTGCCTGAGAGATAATTGCGTGAGAAAAAACTATAACTAAATTATCTCTCAGATACAGAAAAATCGACAATATTTTCAACACCCCAAAACAGACATATAATAACCAGGTACCCCCTCAAGTCTTATATCCCTGGATAGCCTGGATCTGAGCGCACAACATATCCAAAAAGCGCTCAGATCCCACGAACACAGCCGAAACGCCACCGGGGTAAAGTTTTGACCGACCGCACACGAGGCCCTGCCCAAAATAGTTCCATAGAATCAGTGGTAGCGGTCGGTCTCTTTCGGGAGTACAAAAACAAACAAACTACCGAATGTAGTCCATATCTGCAATATAAAGATTGTTCACCTAATCCATGCAAACAATTTCACCGAACAGTGCTCTTCTAAGATGTAAAGAAACGAACGCAGGCGAGGATGGAAGTTCAGTGGTGTTTGCGAGTTTAGGTGTCCAAATTTAGTTTCATGTACTCGACGACCGAACACGAACAATGGCCACCCAGCTAAACACTTAGAACACTGAGGTGTGAATCATTATTAAGGTGTCAATGAGGCTAACAAGCATATGGGTGGTCCATAGTTTGTGGATTTGTTCGGTTCCCGAACAGTACAGGGAAACCCCACAAACAAGGTCTTTTAACAGGTCTTTTACATGGCCCATAGTCCTTGGGCAGGCTCCTCCAGGAGCTCATGGCAGAGGCATCTTTGCCACAGTGACATAGAGCGAGAGAGAAAGACACACAGAGTGAGAGAGCGAGACACAGAGAGAGCGACACAGAGCAAGAGGGACAGAGAGAGAGAGAGAACCTATATGTCTCTTACTCACCAATGTGTGTGCAGGGTCCTCCCCTCACCATCCACTGCTGGCAGTACAATGAGCCGGCACAACGAGCGCACCCGATCCTCTGGGGGGACAGAAACAGTTATTATTATTATTATTAGTGCACTTTCCCTTTAAATCTTAATTGCGTTTGTAGAACATAATAATATGAAGGAAATGCCATTCACAAACCACACTCGCACAAACTCTGCTGGAATGGTGATGTCATCCACCGAGATAATACAGTGATTACATCAGAGCTCAGAATTAAACTTTATACAGAGTGCTAAATGGGAGCAATCAGCAGGAACATTCCATTGGTTTCCATGGTGATTGTTACAGCTGTAGAGCAATCAGCAGGAACATTCCATTGGTTTCCATGGTGATTGTTACAGCTGTAGTGCAATCAGCAGGAACATTCCATTGGTTTCCGTGGTAAGTGTTTCAGCTGTAGAGCAATCAGCAGGAACATTCCATTGGTTTCCGTGGTGATTGTTACAGCTGTAGAGCAATCAGCAGGAACATTCCATTGGTTTCCGTGGTGATTGTGTCAGCTGTAGAGCAATCAGCAGGAACATTCCATTGGTTTCCATGGTGATTGTGTCAGCTGTAGAGCAATCAGCAGGAACATTCCCTTGGTTTCCACGGTGATTGTTTCAGCTGTAGAGCAATCAGCAGGAACATTCCATTGGTTTCCACGGTGATTGTTTCAGCTGTAGAGCAATGAGCAGGAACATTCCATTGGTTTCCACGGTGATTGTTTCAGCTGTAGTGCAATCAGAAGGAACATTCCATTGGTTTCTATGGTGATTGTATCAGCTGTAGAGCAATCAGCAGGAACATTCCATTGGTTTCTATGGTGATTGTTCCAGCTGTAGAGCAGCTTTGCACGGCCATACAGTTGTATGTAAACACATCACACTCACCCTCCTCCAATAAAGAGATGGAGTGCGGTCAGTAATGTGTGTTATCTTATCAGTTCACTGACCTTGTGCTCTACAGAACACGTACACCAAGGACACACTGGCCGACAAGGCAAGTCTTTCTATCAGATGGTATGGCGGTACGCCTAGTCTTACTGCGATCATGCCTTTTTCAATGTGTCCTGCTCTCTGTATACGGCATACATGGGGTGAGGCATTGTAACGGAACCGCTTAGTACCCCGACCGGGTACCTTCTGCTGATGGATGCTCCTAGTGCTTTCTGAGGGCTCCAAGCACTCCACCTGACACCATAACCACTGCAGCTTGGTTGGGGTCTCGCCGTCTCCACCCACTCTGGACCCAAGACCAGGGTCCAGCTTCCAGCAGGTCGACCTCTCCAATTCCAGAGAGCAGGAACAGGAACAAGCTCTTAGCAGAGCTTAGTGATTATACCCTGGGGAGTATAGTGATTATAGCAACCCCCAGAGTGTAGTTCTCCAATCCCCCAAACATGAGCCAAAACTTCATGAAGGTACACGATGATCTGACTCCAATGAGCGTTTATTACTCCTTATATACAAGTTTTCAGGCCAGAGGCACACCCCCTGGACCTGGTGGTAAACTGTGACAAAAGGGAAACAAACCAATGGGAACACTAATTAACATGATAACACTCTCACATACACAATGAAATCCCTCCTCTCCATCCTGGAGATAATTGGCTTAAGGCACTGCAGTAAACTCAATTATCTCCAGGTGTAACGGACCGTTTTGCCCAAAAGGGGTTAAAAACCGTTTAGGCGATATTCCCCTTTTTCAGCTGCACAGACAGCTACTGCAAGAACCAATCTCCTGAACTGCAAACCCACGAATTCACCAACTCCCGAACTGCATACCAAGGTGTAACGGACCGTTTTGCACAAAAGGGGAAAAAAACGTTTAGGCGATCGGCCCCCTTTTCCGGAGATGCAGGCACAGCTACTGCAGAACACCAAACACACGAACCGCCAATAAGTGAATGCTCCAAACTCCCGAACGGCATCCAATATAGCACTCCAAACACACGAACAGGAACCATACGAATTGCTGCTACCAGACGAATAGGAAAAGCATCCAAGCGGCTTACACTCCTAGCAATCAGTCTCTATCAGCATTCAGTAAATCCCCCCAAAGACGAGACAAGGCTCCGTGTTGAGGGTCAAGCAGTGGTCTGTTTAATGAGGGCTACCTGCCCAGTATTTATGCAGGTCTCCCACCTGGTGGACACTCCCCTAGGGGACCAAATGGGAGACTGTGACAAGGGACAGACAAGCAGACAAATAGGACACACAGTCACAATATATTCCCACAATGCATCCTGGCTTCCTCCCCTCTGCCCTGGGAGATAATTGAGAAGTAATTCAATTATCTCCCAAGACAAAGGCAAATCGCCATTATGCACATGGGGATACTAAAACAAGCATTACTGTTAAAATACACCAGGTAAGACACATTACATTAAAACTATACATTTAACATATCCCCAGATAGCTCAGGTCTGAGCGCACATTATTAAGTGAATGGCGCTCAGACCACACGAATACAGTTTAATCGCCATGGATGTTACGGTTGCCTCCAGGCTGGCTGGAAGTTGGACCGTAGAAAAGGATGCTCCTAGCGCTCACCAAAGGACCATCAGCACCGTAGACACCATAACTACTGCGTAGCCACCATAAGTACTGCAGACTCCACGAACCACCGCTGCTGGGCTGGTATCTCGCCGTCTGCTCTGTGCCCTGGACCCACGACCAGGCTCCAGGTTCCAGTAGGTGAACCTCTTCCTTCTGCAGAGCGAAGCAGGATCAGGAACAAGAGCTCTTACAAGAGCTCAGTAGCTAAGGGAGTATGAAGAGCATAGCAATCCCTGTAGTGATTATAGCTGTCCCCTACAAACATGAGTCAAGGCTGCAAGTTAGAGGGTCAAGAAGATCTGATGTTTAATGGCACACACTCTGCTTTTATGAGATTCTGCCCATGCAAGGGAGACACCCACATAATTAGCAGTATAACCAATCGGAACAATATACATTCGGGGAAATTCCCATCCCTCAGATAAACACATAACATTATTAAAACAGAACAGTAAAAATACAGTTAAATCGCCATACACACTAGGTCCATAGTCATGGGGCAGAAGGCTGGCAATTAGGCTTCTCCATAGCACAGGGAAGCAGGGCAATTTGTCAAATAAAATAACAGTTACAAATGGCAGTTTGTAACATATCTCCCCTTTTGGAGGGAGACTAACCAGGCACCTGACCTCCTGTCGGTCAGTGCCTAAGTTAGTCTCGCAGCCCACCCACAAATAACAAGTAGCAAAGTAGCCCCCCCGCAATAAAAAGTACTGGCCTGTAGGTTCCAGGTTGTAGGATGAAAATGTAGCATCCTCTGCCTTCCTGGTGCAGCTGGGCAAATAGCTGGTGGTACTTGGGGGGCAGAGGCCAGCGGCGCTCTGCCCTGACGCCAGCGCTTCTGCTGGGGTGAGGGGGTTGCAGGCCAGTCCTGCAACAAGGGGGTCGGTAGGGCAGAGGCCAGCGGCGCTCTGTCCTGATGCCAGCTCTTCCGCTGGGATAGCTGGCATAATGTCACGCTCTGTACAAGGGTCAAAGAGAGGGCAGAGGCCAACTGCACTCTGCCCAGCTGCCAGCTCTTCTGCTGGGGGAATTGGGGCATAGTCCTGCCCGGTGGCAAACGGAACGTGGGGGTTGGTGGGGGTCGCCATCTCCCCTGTTAACCCTGGGCCCAAGTTAGGAGTTGGCTGGGGAGGGGAGAATTGGCTTACCTCCTCCTCCTGATACTCCTGCGGCCGCTGGGGAGGGAGGTCGATGCTCTCCGCTTCCTGTGGAACATGCTGGGGCTGGGGAGAGAGACCGGTTGTCTCCTCTCCCTGGAAGGCACACTCCGGCTGGGGAGAGAGGTCGATGCTCTCCTCTCCCTGTAGCTGGGTCTGCCGCTGGGGATCTGGGCCGCCTTCCCAGCATTCCTGTAGGGCCGGTAGAGAGACTACGGTCCCATCTTCACCTGCCTGTTGGGGGTCCTCCCAGGACCAGTCTATGAGGTCTGCTGCCTCGGGTACCTCTGGTTGGGGTTGGGGAAGAAGACCGGTTGTCTCTTCCCTCTGCACGGTGCACTGCCGCTGGGGAGAGAGGTCACTGCTCTCCTCTCCCTGTAACTCAGGCTGCCGCTGGGGAGGGAGGTCGATGCTCTCCGCTCCCTGTAACTCACCCAGGGGTTGGGGATCTGGGCCGACTGCCCAGCATCCCTGTAGGGCCTGTAGAGAGACCTCGGTCCCATCTCTACCTGCCATCAAAGGTTCCTCCCAGTATACCTCTACGATATCCTTCCAGCTGAAGGACTCTCGATCTGGCTCTGCTGCTGTGCTCTCTAGGGGGACCTCTGGATGCTGTTGAGGAAGGGGACGGGTTGTCTCTTCCCGGGACCCCTGGATGATGTGCTGGTACTTCCACTCCAGCTCACATTCCTGGGTGACTAGATACCGCAGGTCTGCTTCCAGGCCAATAGCTCTAGGGAGTCCCAGCTTGTCTTCCCGGTCATCATACAGGTCCCAGAAGCGTGAGTCTGTATCCCTTCCAAAGTCATCATCGTCCATATTCTCCCAGAATAGATCAGGGCCATTGTAATCCCCACACTCAGGGAATTCATACTCCGCTTTCTCTGGAACAAGCTGAGTCGCGTACCACTGTAGCGCCTGGTATGCGTTGTCGAGCCACAGTTCACTGTATACTAGATCCTCTAGTTTAGTCACCCACACTGGAAGGGGTTGTTTGCCCAGGAGGGGCATCCGCTCTGCCATTCGAGCCTGGATTTGCTGCCCTCTGCTGATTCTACGATCACCTCGCCAACGCTGAACTTCCTGTAGGGCTTCTTCCCACAGCTCGGCTCTGGCCTCACTTCTGTACCCACACATCTCCTCTTCTGAGACTGCCCCATCTTTCCAGGATAGGAAGCCATGCAATCTGTCGAGGAACCTCTCCTCCATTTCGGCTGCTGTGCACGGACTTGCTGGCTCCATGCTGCTCTAGGTAGGGACGCTGCGCAGTGGCTAGCGTTGCCCTCAATACTCTCTCATATGATACCAGTGCTGTTGGGGTGCTGCTCCTTGCGCTAGGACGCCATTCCACCGCTTGCCACCAAATGTTACTGTTGCCTCCAGGCTGGCTGGAAGTTGGACCGTAGAAAAGGATGCTCCTAGCGCTCACCAAAGGACCATCAGCACCGTAGACACCATAACTACTGCGTAGCCACCATAAGTACTGCAGACTCCACGAACCACCGCTGCTGGGCTGGTATCTCGCCGTCTGCTCTGTGCCCTGGACCCACGACCAGGCTCCAGGTTCCAGTAGGTGAACCTCTTCCTTCTGCAGAGCGAAGCAGGATCAGGAACAAGAGCTCTTACAAGAGCTCAGTAGCTAAGGGAGTATGAAGAGCATAGCAATCCCTGTAGTTGTTATAGCTGTCCCCTACAAACATGAGTCAAGGCTGCAAGTTAGAGGGTCAAGAAGATCTGATGTTTAATGGCACACACTCTGCTTTTATGAGATTCTGCCCATGCAAGGGAGACACCCACATAATTAGCAGTATAACCAATCGGAACAATATACATTCGGGGAAATTCCCATCCCTCAGATAAACACATAACATAATTAAAACAGAACAGTAAAAATACAGTTAAATCGCCATACACACTAGGTCCATAGTCATGGGGCAGAAGGCTGGCAATTAGGCTTCTCCATAGCACAGGGAAGCAGGGCAATTTGTCAAATAAAATAACAGTTACAAATGGCAGTTTGTAACAATGGAGCCAAAGTCTTTACCGTCAGTTTCATACGAATGGGCTCCATGGGATTCCTATCTGGGGTATAACACATTCAAACAAAACTACCGAACACCGAACAAGAAGGGAGGTCGGCGGCTTCAGCGGTGTTCGCGCAAAACTGTGTCCGATTTTAGTTCCATGAAAATAGGGGCGAACACCGCTGTGCATTCGTATGTTTAAAATGGCCGCGACCTCGTGTTCGGGATACGAATGGCGGCCACCCAGCATTCGTCAATTAAGCTGCGCAGCTTCAGGGAGGTTAATTGCCGGCACACTCCAGCTCCCAGGTGGTCTATTCATTCGTGCGGTTGTTCGGTAGATTGAATCTACCGAACAACCGGCAGAAAAGCACGAATACAGCTTTTCTGCAGGCGAAATAAAGTCTTTTAACAGGGGGGCCATAGTCCAGAGGCAGCAGACGAGCAACCAGGCTTCTCCAATGCAATGTGGCGAAATTGGTCTCGTCACACAAGGGAATACTCGAAACTCCCGAACTGGAGACACACGAATAGCTGCTAGCAGACGAACAGGAAAAGCCCCCAAGCGGCTTACACTCCTGGCAATCAGTCTCTAATAGCATACAGTAACTCCTACCCCAATAATGAGACGACACTTCACTTTGAGGGTTAAGCAGGAACTGATTTACTGGGGCTAACTGCCCGGCTTTTATGCAGGTCTCCCACCTAGTGGACACTCCCCTGGGGGACCAAATGGGAGACTTGGACACAAAGGGTAAAAGGACCAATCACAGACTTACACATTTCAACCATCCCACAATGCATCACAATCCCTCCTCTCTGCCCTGGAGATAATTTGGGAAGTAATTCAATTATCTCCAAAGACAGAGGCAAAACTCCATTAACCACATGGCAGAAAACAAACAGTAAAAAACATAAAATTACTTACAGTTACATTCAGTACATAAAACATATATGTTCTACATATCCCCAGATAGCTCAGGTCTGAGCGCACATTATTAAGCGAATGGCGCTCAGACCACACGAATACAGTTTAATCGCCATGGAGCCAAAGTCTTTACACAGTCAGTTTCATGCGAATGGGCTCCATGGGATTCCTATCTGGGGCACAATCTACCGAACACCCGGCAGAAAAGCACGAATAAGTCTTTTCTGCAGGGTAAAATGATGTCTTTTAACATGGGGCCATAGTCCAAAGGCAGCAGGCGAGCAACCAGGCTTCTCCAGTGTACAGTGGCGAGGTTGGTTTCGCCACACCAGGTACAGAAAATATCTACATTTTACACTAACTCTGTGTCTGGGAGAATTGAATCAAAAGAAAGATAACTCAATTATCTCTGTTACAGGATACGATACAAAAATATACAAAATACCCCCAAAACTTATCCAAAATATACAGGAACCTCACAAGTCTTATATCCCCAAATAGCTCGGATCTAATGGTGATTCTGTTCTACCAAAGGGATCTGAGCGCTGGACAACTGAAATTTTCCTCCACTGCTGTCAACTATTACCAAAAACCTCCAGACCAGGCACAGACCTTGTTTTGGGTGGTTCTTCAGGATCAACATCATAAAAATGAATCTTCTACCCCGCATTCTGTATCTCTTGCAGACATTACCCATCACAATTCCAACTAAATTCTTCAATTCAATCAAATCTATATTCTCAAAATTCATATGGGCCAACACCTCGTTTGGCACACACAATCCTAACCAGAAGCAAGGACCAGGAATGACTAAACCTGCCTGACATAGATCTCTACCACAAAGCAGTCCACTTGCATAGAATATATGAATGGACAAAAACCACACCGATACAACAATGGGTGCTTCTTGAAAACTATTTCGCGGAGACACCCTTAAGAGTGTGCCCGTGGCTTAAACCATGCCCTCACAACCTCGACATCACAACGTCCACCCAACCATCTCTACAACACTTAAAACCTGGCACAAACTAAGGAAAACGTCAACTATATCACCACACGACAACTATATCTCCGCTCTACCCGTTCACACAAAACCCACAGTTCCAAAAGGGATACTAAGGGGAGACAGATGACCAATACCACGAAGGCCCCTCGCTTCAACTGCAAGATATGCTATTAAATAGCAAAATAAAAAGCCTAACGCAAATCATACCTGTGGCGAAACCAACCTCGCCACTGGGCATTGGAGAAGCCTGTTTGCCCGCCTCCTGTCTGCTTACTATGGCCCCTGGGAGATTTGGCCCTTTAAATACAATATTTGGGCATATTGTATTTTATTATGCTGCTGCTGGCCCTTTAAGAACCATCTGGGGACTTACTGTGACTTTTGGGAACAATGCCCCTTTAAGACTATGGCCCTTGGAAGCTATTGCCTGTTAAAGACTGTGGCGGAACCAGCCTCCCCACTGGGCATTGGAGAAGATTGATGGCCAGCCTCCTGCCATGTGACTATGGCCCTTGGGATGTATTGCCTGCTCTCCTGTACTGCTGAGGATTGCTGCCAACTAGGTGGATTTGGCTATGGAGCTTGTGTAGTTCCCTCTGTTGGTAGCAACAGTAATATGCACTTCCTGAATAGCAAGACTGGTAATTTGCATATTTGGGTAGATGTGCATATCGCTAATTCTGCGTGCAGGAGAGACATTTTGTGTTAATTATGGTCTTCCCCACCCATTTATAAATATGTAATTATGTTATAATAAGTCACTGTATGTTGCCTGCTATGATTTGACTGTTTCTAATTTTATTGAGTTTTCACAGCAATGTTGATGTAATGACCATATGGCCTAGTCCCAAGTAAAAGAAAGTTTTACAGTTCTACTTCACCCTCAATTTGGAGTCCTGTCTCTTATTTGGGGGAATCTGCTACAAGGGATTGCTATGCTCTGCATATTCCCTTGCTATAATCACTCCTAAGCTCTTTTAAGAGCTTGTTCCTGCTTTGCTCGGAAGGAAGAG